AGCCCCTAAAAAGCACCTGCTCTGCCTTTTGTGCTGGGCGAGACGCTTCCTGTTGCTTGATGCTGTGTTTGCTTTTCTGAGCCGGCTCCCATAGAGCCGTTGTTGCCCTCTGCTGTTTTAGCATTCATGTCTGTCCCCATGCCTTAAACCCCCCTTTCCTGGACTCAGGCATACCTACTGGCCCTGGATTCCCATTGGCTCTCCCCAAACTCTCACAAACTGTCCTCTACTGTCCTCCATCGTCAGCTTATTTGTGTCTGTTTTGGCCTCGGAGTGCGACTGACCCCCTGCTGCTCCCCGAGCGTGATGTGTGTATCAGTCCTCACACACACTGCTGCTGAGCCAGCTGTGAGAGGGAGGGCATTGTTAGAGGAATGTGAGACATGACCGCGCAGGTCCGTCCTTCACATGATGACAGACTGAGAGAAGACTCAAAACAGCAACACTCAGGGGTCAAACTTGGCTCATTTTAAAGAACTACTTCATGTTAGCAGCACGCTGGTGTGAAAACAGCATACTTGTCATCGCGTTATCCTTCATTCTGTTTGGAGTGAGCCCAAAACATCTGGAAGGAAACTTAGAATAGTTCTTTACAGATGAAACGTTTTAATATAATAGTGAACTCCAACAGAAACACGGTTTCTGTCTAGATTATTTGAAGTATGCGAACATTGGAAGAGCTTAGATTTCTAGAATTTTCTAATCTTTTGTAAACAAGCTTTTCGAACTCCAGTTTTTTGTGTCAAATTATTCATCAAATGTTGTTTTCTTTCACCCGCTGTGTCCCTCATTGCTGTAGGACTTCCAGTTTTCTCTCTAATCCCTTCAGAGTGCAGAGAGCGCACAACAAACCCTCCCCAGGCTTCTGTTATACTCAACAGTCTCTTTTAAACATAAAGTACTGTCTAATTTATTGGATAAATTACTGAATAATTAGGTGAGCACTGGTGGGAAGAACTACCAGTATGTAAATTTGAGTAATTTAATGATCAGTTTTCTGCAACTTTTACAATTCAAAGAGCCATTTTTCCTCTCAGTCCACCTTAATAAAATCTGTTTAAATTTTTGTAAAAAAGACTTTCCTTTTAGAAGATAAGGGCCACTGACTCTCAGAATTCAGAATTTTTTTTCTGTGATTAAAGTCTGAAATTATTTTATCCTCCTCTAAATATCCTCTGTCAGATTATCTTTTGTCATTTTTGAAATGAAATTCAATTTTATTCATGTAATTAAAATGAAGGAAAAAAGCTATATATTTTTTTTAAAGTACAATTTTTTTTTCTATTTAATGATTTTTGCAGAAATTGATCTAAAAACAGATCTAAAAATATTACTGGTACTTTTAGTATCATTCTGTTATGGAAATTCCATGCAGAAGCATAAAAAGCTTCAAAGGTGAAACTAATATGTAAAATACTCATTTCATGCAAAGTCAGATATTTCAAGCCATTATTTGTTATAATTGGGTCAGTTATGGTTTAAAGTTTAGGAAAAACCCAACTTCAAAGTCTCAGACAACTAGACTATTGTGAAAAGGCTAAATGTTCTAGACTCAGTGTTACACTCTAATCACTTAATGAATCCAAAACACCTGCAAAGAGTTCCTAAACCTTTAGATGGTTTCTCAGTCTAAGATGAATTACTGAAAAAAAAATGTTTTGCACCATATTCAAATTTTTTGAGTTTCACCTGTTTTTTTTTATAAGTTATTAGGAGCCATTTGAAGGGTCCAAAGAGCCACTTGTTTATCAATGTTTGATAAAATTCTATTCTATTGGTGTTAAAAATTTGTTTTATAATTTTAGGTATTCGTATTTTATAGTCTATATTTATAGTATATGTTTTTATAGAAAATAAAATTGCAACCATTTTTTAAAATGAAAGCAAAAGTTTCTGCGGCTGCAGCCTGTTGCTTCTTCCTTCACAGCGTGATTCTTGAACTTAGTGAGGGTGAAGATGAGAAAATGGACATTCTCTTCCATTCAGCCTATGTAAAAATATATGTGTAATAGATTTGGAAATAAATATTTGCAATCATTGCCTGAACAACGCTAAGCCAGACTTCTCTCTTGAAACTGATTTCACGTTGGGGTAACAAGCACCCAGACTAATGAACACAACCACAAATAGCACTTTTGTCAACAATTCTTAAGAGCTCAGAGGACATTCATTATTGTTCCGGCTGGGTGATTTAAAATTTTTGTCCTCAGGACTCAAAGTTGTGCTGTTTTTCTTCCCTATCAGGCGCTTAATTGCATTCACCTGGCGTCACATATATGGATCAGTCACTGATTAGATTTGCAGAATGAAAATCAGCAATGCTCTTGCCCTCAAGGCTAAGACTGAAGACCACTGGCTTCAAGCAACGGTAAACAAATACAAGGCAGCATGTCACGTCTTTAGCGTCTCACTGGAGCTAATTCTGTGTACACACACACACACACACGGATGGACCTTGAGATATTTAATATGGTGTTTGAGCCAAAATACTTTAGATAAAACTCAACACGTACCTTTTTTATATATATTTTACTTGTTGAGTTATGGAAACATGACCCTTAGTTTCATATGGAAACAGAACAGAGATCTACAGCAGATGTTGAACACAAAAAGCAGAAATGTTCTGACTGGCTGTAAACTGGTCTCTGGAATGTAAGGAGGAGATTCTCCAAGCTGTGAGGCTGATTCTCAAAGCTCATGAGAGGGATGAAGCAGGAAGACCCCGTAAATAACCTTATCTATTCGCCGGGGGGGGGGGGGGGGGGGGGGGGGGGGGGGGGGGGGGGTTCAGACTCCAAACAATGGCCCGCAGGAAGCCTTTCCTCCAAACTCCAAGTCTGTTCAGACCCCAAAATACCCCGCAGACGCAGTGTGCGAGGTGACAATTCTCTATGAATCTCACAAACAAAAACACCAGAAACTGAACGTGCTGTTGTGCACGTTCTTCGCCCAGAGGGGGAAATCAGAGAGTTCATCTAAGGCTGAAGGAATCAAGGAAGAAGATCATTTTACCCCTCGTTGATGGAAACATGAGCAGCTTTAAATGGACTCCAAAAGACCCAGAGCAGACATAATAGCATTAAATCTTCATTTTCATGCTTTTTTTTTTTTTTGGTGGTTTTATGACTTGATGTTTTTTATGACAAGAGGCAGTTTTCTCCTTCACCCAAGTCTTAGATGCTTTAAGCTCATTTTAAATACTGTTTGTAACATTTTCTGACTTAAAGTGGTCCTAGAGTTAAAAACCACATTTTCATTGTTCTTGAATCTAGGCAGCTTGTGCTGTCTAACCCCTTCTTTCCATCGAACGTCAAAATGTTGCAAAACAGCCGCAAAACTTTCTTTGTGGCAGTTAGTTACTGTTACAGTGGACAAGTTACTTACCACTGGCAGCAAGGTTTAACGTTTTGGACGTGGCCTAGAAGCGAAGGAACGCTAACATTACATTTCAAGTATTTTTTGTCTGTGCCACACCTTCAAAACACATCAAACTCTGCAGTTTGGAAGTTGAACACGACGACGATGTAAAATATCTGGAAACTTTCAAAATAAAAAGTCACATGAAGATAAACGTACGTCATTTCCTGTGAAACTCCCGTAGCTGATGTGAACAGAACAGAAAATGTATTTGGATACATGCAGCCATCTTCCTCCTAGCTTGTTATTGTGTGGACTTCTGAAAGATTTTTGTGACTTTGCGGGATCAGCAGCGTGGAACGCGTTCGCTCCCGTTTTGCTTCTGAATCGCTCCTGGTTGGAAGGTGAAAAAAATAAAATCCACTAACGCCATACCAAACACTCTGTGCTGTCTCCAAACTGCTTTCCTATGCAAGTTAGTAATTTTGTAATGGCCAAGGAGAAACTATTTGTTCTAAGAAAAGCTGGTTTAAGCTGAGCCACACCTCCCAACCGATTCCAGTGCCGGTAATGGATAAATATTGGTTGCAGTAATGCTAACCATCCAACACATTCTCACACCCAAAGCATCAAAATATGATGCGTGTGACCAAGCCTCAATATACGACAAATCGAGATGCCCCAGCGCATCAGGAGAGGACGATCAGGGACACGTGGCACCGCTGGCGTCCGTATTTGACGCCCGCGGTCACACGGACATTATTCCGCGATTTAACTTTCCCCTCACCCCAATCCTAACCTTAACTCAGTAACTCAGCTGAGTTAAGGTTAGAATGGGGGTGAGGGGAAGGTTAAGTAGTTCACACGTTGGTCTAATGTCCGTCCCACCGCGGGCGTCGGACACCGACGCTCTGGGACAGTGCGTCCTCAATGCGTCCTCTTCTGACGCGCTGGAGCATCCCGATTCGTCATATATTGAGGCTTGGTCACACACGTCATATTTTGACGCTTTGGGTGTGAGAATGTGTTGAACCATCGTACAATGCTAGCCCAAGCTACTGGTAACGCTAGGATGAGCTACTGCATACATTCACGTCAGGCAAAAGGAAAAAACGAAGTGTTGGAGCACCTCTTACGTTCCAGAATGTACTTGGAATATCCCAAGAATGAAAGAATGTCAGGTGGATCCACAGCTTGCGTTCCTCTTCCTCACACACATACCCCAACCCCACCCCATTCCTGGACACTATCACTTCCTCGTCCATGCCCCCTCTTACACAGACATACAGAACACAGAGTCACTAGCCTCAGGTAGCATCATAGAGCCATCAGGGTACACTGGCCAATCAGCATGCAGCTCAATTAATATTCATGTCCCGGCCGAGTGGGCGGGGTTAGCCATTCTTTCCGTTTTAGTGCTTTATCATGTGGTTGTGTTTGGGCATTTGTCGGGACTCCTGGGTGATTGTGAGTCGCCACAAAGTTTCAAATCCTCAATAGAGGCTCAAAGACAAGGTTCCAGTGATTTAAAACCTCTTTCTAGTACACCTTTAGGATTGGTTCTGACTTTATTCCGCCTTTTTCCCCTGTCTTAATTTTAAAAGAATAAATAATAGTAAATAAATCTTCTTGTCTTTTAACAGAACATAGATGTGACCAACTTCAGCAGCAGCTGGAGTGACGGCTTGGCCTTCTGTGCCCTTCTGCACACGTATCTGCCGGCCCATATCCCTTACCAGGAACTCTTCAGTCAAGAAAAGGTATAAAAAAACTCACATTCTCTCTGATTCTCACGTCTGAAAAAAGATAAAGCAACATAGTGTTAAATATGACATTTGTCTTCTTTCTGGACACATGTTATTGTTGTTGTTTTTACATAAAGCATTTAATTGATTTGTAAGTCTCAGCACCCTGTGTTTTTGTACAACTTACACACTGTGCCAAATCTTTTTGAATTTATTGTTTTACTGACCCATTCAATAAGTGGGTCAGTATTTCATCAGTATGTAGTCAGAAACTCAACTAATCAATCTAAAGTGATTGGAAATCAATGCATTCATTGAAAGCACACCTTCAACACATTTAATGTACCCAGCCCCTCTCCTCAGTAGTTACATAAGACCCTCTGCTTCCTGCTTGCATAATCCTGTTAAAATCAGGATAATGAACAAGAAAAATCCGTAAGGGAAATAAAGAAATTTGCTTTAGATGGTTGCAGATCTATTAGATCTTCTTAAATTGTGCACCGTTCAGGTTGACAAGTGTGACATTTTCTTCCTGTGCAGCAGCACCCTACACACACACGACATGACTCACTAGCTTGCACACACGTGTGAACAATCAGTGTGAGGTTTCTTATTTAAACTTCATACATTTAGAGGAAGTCTCTGTTTTACTCATGTGCAGAGAAGGTTTCATATTTTTAGTTGTGAAGCTAGATGCATCACATATTATCACTGCAGCCTTCCTACCCAGCATGCTGATTGAGTATGAATGTTTGTGTAGTCACGCTGTAAGTGAAGCTCGGAGCAGGAGCGGTGACGGCTCTGTAATGCTTCAGGAGCAGGTGGTTGATGCCGTGACGTAACAAACAATAAGCCTCCTCTCTGGGGACCTCAGCGCCATCACCTTGCTCCAACATTGCAACAAAGAATAAACCCCTTCGACCAGGGCTGACACTTCCTACGTGATGAATTAGTCATGTGGGCGTGTAACATCAAGCTGACGACAGAGACACTGTGCGGCCCATCCCTCTGAATAATTCAATAGACGTGTGTTGGCTTTAATAACTCTTTCTGAGTGACTTTCCCTCAGGCCCAAACACCAAACCTCCTATCGGTGTAATCTATCCTTCCAGTAATCCCATTACTGCCCCTCTTCTCTTGCTTTTAAGAAACTCCTTAAGGCCTGCTTATGCTTCGGATGGGGGATTTGCATCTGAGGGGGGAATCAATGTCAAATCAAGCATTTCTAAATCAAAAAGCAGAAATGTAGAAACAGTCTGAATCTGCACAGAGTATCTGGAGAGTTTAAAGTAGTCAGCAAGAACCTTTTTTTCTCTAACCCTAACCCGGACGTCCAAAGAGATGTGATGCACCAAAAATAAAAACTTATGGAGATTTAAGTCGTCCGTTGGGAGTTTGTTTTGTTTGTTGTTCTGTTTCTGAGCTTATTATTGTCAAACAAACCTCCTTCTCACATCTTCTCAACACCCGACATTTTGTTTGTTTGGTTTTGTTTCGTTTAGGTCCGGAATCTGACCCTAGCTTTCCAGGCTGCTGAGAGCGTAGGCATCAAGCCGTCTCTGGTGAGCTGAGCTTCTGCAGACCACACACACACTCATCTATATATATACATATCGATGACGCTCACTCAACCACATCATTTAAATATGCAAATGAAAAATAGTAAATATAATGGTTAGCTTGAAAAACTTGTCTTGCAAATTCTCCTAGATGCATGACCTACATCCAGATGTACCACTAAATTTAGGCCACAAACTTTTTTATTTAATGAGTAAACACAACTAGTTTCATTCACTTCAAGTGAAGAAGCACAGCAGACTTGGACAAACATCTCTAGTATAAACCATCTCTTCTGTTTAAGAACAAACTGTGACATGCATTATTATGTAGACGTTAGACTTTTAGCTTAGCTTGGTTATGTTTCACATGTCTTTTAAAAGGGACAATATAATGCATCCAGTCTGGAGGAGCAGTGGCTCTACTACGAGCCTCTCCAAAATTTTGAGCTTCTCAGCTTATAGCAACCTGAGAGGGGGATACGTGAAATGGCTCATTCCTGAAGGCACACAAACAGTGAAGAATAAAACTGCTGATATCAAGATTTATTGAAAAGAACTTCGTAAATGTGTCTGTGTCTTGTATCAACCATAGAAGCATTAAAACGTAAGAAAATAAGTCATAACATGTTCCCTTTAACCAAACAGGAAGAAAGAATCATGAAATTAATAGTAGATTTAAAAAAAAAGCCAGAACAGTGAAGCTGCACTGATGACAAAAGTGTTCAAATGTTTAAAAACACCATGTATGAAGTCATCTAGTGGTGATTTAAAAGGATCTCTGGTTTCATGAATTGATTTCTATTCGAGGTCTATCATCTTTTCTCTAGATTAAATCTTGAATCAATAATGGGTTCATATTTGTTCTGATCACTGTCTGAATGAAGAACGCTGATCGTCTCCTGAGATTACGGCTCTGGTATTGATTTCCTGTCATTTATTTAACAATCCGACTTTTACTCCGCATCAGTCGAGCCCTTTCAATTTGGTCCTACTGTCAGGCATCACCTTATATTCAATACTTTAGCTTGATGAGATTTAACAGCCATTTCAACCTGGTTTTGTTGTCTGGGACATCATCAGGAAAAGGATTTATGGTAGCTGAGCTCCTCAGCAGCGTGGAGCAGGAACGTGCAGCTCTAAATGTTCGGGATGGTTTGTTTAATTTGCTTACTGCAGAAATGAGCATGAAGGATGAGCTTCGTGAGTAGGCTGCTCTACAGATATGAGTGGACACACACCAACATTATAAGTCCCAGACCATGTGGAGTAATCTAATCTGAATACATCAACAGTCCCTCCCGACTCACGAGGTGGCCGCAGCCAAATCCAGTCGGTTTTCAGTTTTGCTGAGTCTCTAGTTTATAAAACACACACAGTGTGAAGACTTGAAGCTAGAAATAGAAATGGAGATCGTGAACTAGATGGGAAACTTTTTCTGAACTGAAAATAAAGCATTATTTTAAAAGCCACAGGTGTTGCATCCGCCTGCAGCAGTCTGTAAGAGAAACCCTGCAGGTTTAAAGCATCAGTGGAAATAAAAACTAGACCAAAACCGATTTTTTTTCCCTGTCCATCAGCTCTCTTGGATCCAGAGCCGATGATCGCAGGCTCACTCCCTCATAATCACATTGTTAAGACTTAAACATGCAGCAGCAGGATACGAAGTATTAAAACAACAGAAGTTTTCATTTTGTTTTAATAATAACTTCTGTTTCTGCATCTGGTTGTTGTTGATGTCCGTGTGTTTGACACAAAACGCCCCCTACTGGCTGGCTGCAGAATATGGTTAAACCTTCCTAGAACCTGCAGCATCATTAAAGGACGTTGGCTTCTTGCATTGTAATTTACTCTCTTCAATTTAGATCTGTTACTATTATTTAGAGACACATGATTTTGATTCATATGTTGTATTTTTTAATTTTTTTGTTTTTTATCACAGGAAATTCATAAATCTTGTTTATATATTTCTGAAAACAAATGTTCATGTTTGTGACCTCCAACTCATCTAAAATAGGTGAAATGTGCAGGTTTTCACTTAAAGTAGTGCCTCACATCTTTTCAAGTAGGCTTGTGTGGTAAAGTTGTGAATAATTGATAACTTACTTTTGGTAGATTATCTTTGAACCTCAGTTTTGGGAAACAGCCTAAAGCATCTGAAAATAGTTCCTGTTGTAAAAATGCATTTATGCAAATGCATTTTTATTATTTTTACATTATAATATAATAAGAAAATCTGAACTGTCACTTTAATGTCTGCAACTTCTGTTTTGGTATCAATATTATGATTATTAATGTTATTATTATTATTATTATTATTATTATTATTATTATTATTATTATTATTATTAACTTGTCACAAACTTTATTTTGGTCATAGAGGTCGGAGATCCTTGACCCACATATTTTTTTATTTCTATACAAGCACACACGATGCTGTGAGCGAGTCCGCGACGAACATATAAAGAAAATTCCTTCCAAGAAAATCATTTGAAATACGTTGGACTTACTGGAACCGAACTGGTCCTGCCGGCATGGGACATCAGTTTTCCAGACTTCTGCTTGTCCTGACAAACGTGGGATCTGAGAAACGTGTGGTTAAACCAGAGTGTGAATTGCTTTATGGTTGAAGGTATTAAAGGCAAATGACTGAGGCTGAATTCTAAAAATCAGGTAAAAATAATCTCTGATGCAACCTTCGGAATATACAGATCAGTTTAATGGCTCATCTGACAGCTGGAGCTCAACAGGAAAGTGGTTTCGGCCTAATTGATGCGTTTACTTCTTCTTCCCTCATCAGTTCCTCGTTACGCATTTGTGGTTGCAGTTTCAGATTCTACAGAGTTGTTTTCTGACCAAAAACCAGCTGGTTCTTTTTTTAGGGTTAAACGTTTGACTTCTATTTGTTTGGTTAATAAAAGATTTGCACATGACAAATCCCAGTAATCAGCTCCTGAAATGACAGGGACGTCAGGGAAGCTTCTACAGAAACGGGAACTTACAGGGAAGGGGCTGAATGGGAATCCATGAGAAATCCTGCAGTTGAGTCTGACTCACCACACAGCTGGCAGCAGCTGAATACAGTCGACCCCCAAAACAGAACATTAGACCCTTATTACACAACAGTACCGCAATGCAAATGATGTAAAAGTTTTCTGACTCTTTAGGATTTTCCTTTTTTATATATTTCTTTTTCTAAAGTCATGACAGTTTCGTTCCAGAATTCAGAATACCAGGGGTGCTGCTGCTGGATTGTCAGACCGGGGTTGGAGCGCTGGCGGCACACACACACCATTTCTACCCCTCCCAGTTACCTCTCCCAGTTACCTATCTCCAGCATTAGTCTCTGATAGAAAATAAATGGTGGACATTTGAAAATCCTGAGAGATCTACGTCACACTGTCACTTAGCATCCATGGACTCCCCCATCTTGACCTGAGTCCCGATGGAGAAGGCTGTTGTTGGTTTAGCGTCCAGAAGAGAGCAGAGAATGTCTCGGCTAGTAGAAGCTTACCGTTAGCTTTAGCAACACCACCACGCAGCAGAACTCCTCCAGGCTTGTGTTATTTTTGGAGATAAAACAGAGTGTTTCCAATCAGAGGCGATATGTCCAAATATCAGGTAATAAGACTCGAAATCTTGCTTTTTTGAGCTGAACTTCAATCTGAATCAGTTCTAGTTCCTGGAACAGTCACACCGGTGTTTTTTTCCCCCATAGAATGACTTACAAGGCATTAATTCCTAGAGACAGCTGCACACGTAATTAAAACATGAGTAAAGTTGATCTTTAACTGACTGTTCACATTCTAAGTGAGTTTGTGTAATCTCTGGGAATAATCGGAGTTGTGCAGAATCAGAAATAAACAGGACATAACCATGGAGTCGAATGATCGGCTAAAAGTCAGATTATTAAATTCTAAAATGGCTGGGATGAACTGAGTGAAGAATGTGAGGATGTGACTCAGAGTTGTCAGACTAACATAATTAGATTTTTGCCAAAATTTCATAACTCGGTTGTCAGTTGATCATATTTGTGCTGATTTCTGCTAAAAAAAATCTGTTTTTCTGTCACCTGAAATTGTATCATTGCAGGTTGCAAAAGCATTTATCATTTCACCAGCTCAGGATTATTATTTTCTTACTTTATCTTCCCTTTTCTAACTGAACCAACCCAGGCAGACGTCCCCGATGGTTCGGTGTCACAAACGTTTATTCATGTCTAGCCCCTACACTGATTTCTGTTGTAAACAGGACATGGAGGAGCTGATGAGGACCGACAGGCCGGACTGGCAGAGCGTCATGCAGTACGTGTCCCAGATCTACAAGTACTTTGAGACCTGAAAGGTTTGGAAGCTGGAGATATGGATCAGAAGCTCTTCTGCTCCATCCGTCTGCATTAAAGTCACCCATGCGACTGGATGAATGCTGCCCCTACAGTACTACAGCATGCAGTGAGGGTCGAAAAGTGAGATCAGAAAGATTCAAGTTGGAAGTGTCAACCGTTTTTATTTATAAACGGAGGGTTTAGGAGTTAACGGCACAATTAGAAGCTGGTTAATAATTTCTGTTTAATGTTTACAAACACAAGATTTTCATTCACTTCATTCACCTGCAAGGCTCAGTGCTGTTAAGACTTTTTAAAACTTAGTTACGTTAAAATGTGCCAAAATTTCAGCCGAAAAATACGTGCACAAGACTCTCCAAACTATGCATGATTAGGATGTGATTTTGTTCTTCAGGAAGCAAGGAAAGACCAGAAATGACAACTTAACTTGGAGTACTGTTTCATTTCTACTCTGAGGACGTTTGAAATAACAGCTGACGTGTTAATCTGAAGCCTCTTTAGGTCATACAGTGGGGCAAAAAAGTATTTAGTCAGCCACCGATTGTGCAAGTTCTCCCACTTAAAATGATGACGGAGGTCAGTAATTTACATCATAGGTACACTTCAACTGTGAGAGACAGAATGTGAAAAAAAAATCCATGAATTCACATGGCAGGATTTTTAAAGAATTTATTTGTAAATCAGGGTGGGAAATAAGTATTTGGTCAAAAACAGAAATTCAACTCAATACTTTGTAACATAACCTTTGTTGGGGGCAGCAGTAGCTCAACAGGTTGAGCGGATTGTCCAGTAATCGGAGGGTTGCAGGTTCGATCCCGGCTCCGGACAGAGAATTCTGCTGTTGTGTCCTTGGGCAAGACACTTAACCCACCTTGCCTGCTGGTGGTGGTCGGAGGGTCCGGTGGCGCCTGTGCTCAGCAGCCTCGCCTCTCATCTCCACCAGTGTATGAATGTGTGTGTGAATGGATGAATGATGTACTGTAGTGTAAAGTGCTTTGGAGCCCTTACTCTGAGAGGCGCTATACAAGTGCAGGTCATTTATCATTCATTTGGCAATAACAGAGGTCAAACAATTACTATAGGTCTTTACCAGGTTTGCACACACAGTAGCTGGTATTTTGGCCCATTCCTCCATGCAGATCTTCGAGAGCAGTGATGTTTTGGGGCTGTCGCCGAGCAGCACGGACTTTCAACTCCCTCCACAGATTTTCTATGGGGTTGAGGTCTGGAGACTGGCTAGGCCACTCCAGGACTTTCAAATGCTTCTTACGGAGCCACTCCTTTGTTGCCCGGGCGGTGTGTTTGGGATCATTGTCATGTTGGAAGACCCAGCCACGTTTCATCTTTAAAGCTCTCACTGATGGAAGGAGGTTTTGGCTCAGAATCTCACGATACATGGCTCCATTCATTCTGTCCTTAACACGGATCAGTCGTCCTGTCCCCTTAGCAGAAAAACATCCCCAAAGCATGATGTTCCCACCCCCATGCTTCACAGTAGGTATGGTGTTCTTGGGATGCAACTCAGTATTCTTCTTCCTCCAAACACGACAAGTTGAGTTTATACCAAAAAGTTCTACTTTGGTTTCTTCTGACCACATTACATTCTCCCAATCCTCTTCTGTATCATCCTTGTGCTCTCTGGCAAACTTCAGACGGGCCTGGACATGCACTGACTTAAGCACGTCTGGCACTGCAGGATTTGATTCCCTGCCATTGTAGTGTGTTACTGATGGTGACCTTTGTTACTGTGGTCCCAGCTCTCTGCAGGTCATTCACCAGGTCCCCTGTGTGGTTCTGGGATTCTTGCTCACCGTTCTCATGATCATTTTGACCCCACGGGATAAGATCTTGCGTGGAGCCCCAGATCGAGGGAGATTATCAGTGGTCTTGTATGTCTTCCATTTTCTGATAATTGCTCCCACAGTTGATTTTTTCACACCAAGCTGCTTGCCTATTGTAGATTCACTCTTCCCAGTCTGGTGCAGGTCTACAATTCTTTTCCATATGTCCTTCGAAAGCTCTTTGGTCTTGGCCACAGTGGAGTTTGGAGTCTGACTGTTTGAGGCTGTGGACAGGTGTCTTTTATACAGATAATGTGTTCAAACAGGTGCCATTAATACAGGTATCGAGCGGAGGACAGAAAAGCTTCTTAAAGAAGACGTTACAGGTCTGTGAGAGCCAGAGATTTTCCTTGTTTGAAGTGACCAAATATTTATTTTCCACCCTGATTTACCGATAAATTCTTTAAAAATCCTGCCATGTGAATTCATGGATTTTTTTTCACATTCTGTCTCTCACAGTTGAAGTGTACCTATGATGTAAATTTCTGACCTCTGTCATCATTTTAAGTGGGAGAACTTGCACAATCGGTGGCTGACTAAATACTTTTTTGCCCCACTGTAAATCCTTCTTTTCCACTAAATAAATCTGAGAGTTTAAGAATTGCCAAATAGTTTTATAGGAGCATTTTTATAGGATCTGAACTGTTCTCAGCATCAAGGATGGGTTCATTCGGACCATCCTGCGTCCAGTTTCACACGTGTTGCCATAACAGTTCTTGGATGACAAGCTTCTACATACAGATGTGTGTTTGCTTATTTTGAGAGATAAAACATGTTATTTATTTATTAACAGAGGATGCATATTGAAAAGTAAGAATTGATGCTGTTTTCTATTGACGGGTACTGGATGTTGAGGCTCGCCGGAGGAGTTTTGTTTAATAAAGATTGTTTGAATCATTGTTAATATGTTTTTGTCCGGGGGATGTTGAGCTGCTGCTTTCTAAACAGATTTTAAGGTGTTACGGTTTAGTCACATCTTACTTTTAATAGCAATGAATATTGTGTCACTTTTATTGTTGATTTTGAAACTCACAATATTATGACTGAATGTTTAGAATTATATCTTAATGTTATGTTATATATATATATATATATATATATAATGGATGGTTTTAAAGGAAATATTTATTGTTGTTCTAATATGAAATTTTAGACTCCAGTAAATGGGTGTGGTCCAAGGGTCCATGTTGTAAAGCAGCGTATTGGCTGGTCCTCCTGGGGTTGCCCTTTGTGTTCCTGTCTTTGGTCCTTGTCGTTGGGGATTTAGGACAGACCATGGTCGTCTGTTGGGGCTTGAAATGGGCCCTTGGGCATTGAGGTCATGGCTGGCCCTGCATTGGTAGGGGGTTGGGGTCTCCTCTCCCTTGGCAGCCAATAGGCTCTGCGTTTGCTGTCGGTCAAGAGCCCCTTTTCTCTGATGCTTACAGGGCTGAGATGGAGGTGGTGCAGTCTGACCCTAACGCCCACTCCTCATTAAAAGAACATTAATGAGAAATCCACTGTCATGGCTCGAGGTAAGTGTCTAACCCAAGACATGCAGAATCAGCACACGTAGTCCAAAGCAGTAAAGTAAAATGTCTTTATTATAAAAACGGGAACTGAAACCGCACAGGGAAGTCCTGTGGGATGAGCAATACGGCTCGAGTCTCTGAGGTGCTCAGGTTAATCAGTAGAGGAGGGGAAGCCGGGGAGGACGCTGGGCAGAGGATGAGAGATCCAGGAGGGGTGAGGTAGCAGAGGGAAAGCCAAACAGGAACGGCGGAGGAGGATGGGACGTGATGAGTATGTTCCAGAAAACGAAGACAGCGAGGGTGAGTAGATGATGAGATGATCCTAAACTGGTGCAATCATCCGGCAAAGTGATGTGTCTCCATCCTCCTTTTGAACCCGCGTCCCTGATTGGGAAATCTCCTGCAGCTGCCGCTCCCCCTGCTCCTCACCTGTGGAGAATTAGCTCAGAGTCTGGTGAGAGGAGAAGGTGTGACTCACCTCTGCCCAGGAACATGACAGTGCCCCCCCCTCAACGGACGCCCCCCGGCGTCCTAGCACCGGATCTGGAGGCCTCGAAGTCCGAGATGAGAGAGGGGTCCTCGATGTTGGACCGGGGAATCCAGGAGCGTTCCTCCGGGCCGTACCCCTCCCAGTCCACCAAATATTGAAGACCCCGACCACGGGGGCGAGAGTCGAGGATGCGCCGCACCTTGTATACCAGCCCCCCTTTGTAGAGCTGAGCAGGAGGAGGCGGAGCCGGAACCGGGCACAGAGGGCTGGAAACGACGGGTTTGATCAGGGAGACATGGAACACAGGATGGATCCGAAGAGACGACGGGAGTTCCAACCGCACGGTCGTCGGACTAGGGACCGCCGTGACCTTGAAGGGACCAAGGAACCTAGGAGAGAACTTCCTGGTGGTCGCCTTCAGCGGGACATCCTTGGACGACAACCAGACCATTTGACCGGGAGAGTAGGTGGGAGCAGGACGACGGTGTCGGTCAGCCAGTCGCTGATTCCTTTCCGCGGTCCGCTGAAGAGCCGACCTCGTGGTGATCCAAGTGCGGCAGGCCCGACGAAGGAACTGAGGAGTGGTGATGGTGGCATCTGTATGAAGGGGGAACAGAGAGGGCTGATATCCGAGGGAGGACTCGAAGGGAGACTGACCTGTGGCGGAGGAGACATGGCTATTATGGGCATATTCGACCCAAGCCAAATGCTCACTCCAGGTGGATGGGTTGGTGGCGCAGACGCAGCGAAGCATGGCACCCAACTCATGGTTCATCCGCTCGCATTGTCCATTGGTCTGCGGATGAAACCCCGAGGTCAGAGCCACCTGGGCTCCCAAGGCGGTGGCAAACTCCCTCCAGACACGAGACACGAACTGGGGGCCTCGGTCAGAGAGGATCTCTGTTGGGATCCCATGCAGACGAAAGACATGTTTAATTAAAAGCTGGGCCGTGACGGCAGATGTAGGGAGAGCCTTTAACGGCACTAGATGACAGGCTTTGGAGAACCTGTCGACAACAGTTAAAATGACACTAAAACCATGCGAAGGTGGCAACCCACAAACAAAGTCCAAGGCAATATGGGACCAAGGACGGGACGGCACTGGTAGGGAACAGAGTAGGCCTGCTGGAGACTGATTGGTACCTTTTTGTTGGGCACAGACGTGGCAGGCCGACACATACTCCTTCACGTCTCTGTAGAGGGAGGGCCACCAGAAAGATCGCCTGATCAGAGCAACAGTACGTCCTACTCCAGGGTGGATTGAGAACCTCCCGGTGTGAGCCCAGTGAATAACCTTTCCTCGTAGTGCCTGGGGAACAAACAGTCTGTTGGAGGGTCCGTTACCTGGGCCAGGATCCACCTTAAGGCCCTCCAGGACCTGGTCTCTTATGGGCCATGTTACTCCAGCAACGATGCAGGAGGCAGGCAAGATGGTGCTAGGAGCCGTCTCATCTTCAGAGGAGTGCTGGCGAGACAGAGCGTCAGGCTTTGTGTTCTTTGATCCTGGTCTATAGGACAAAACAAAGTTAAAGCGGGAGAAGAACAAAGACCACCTATACTGTCGAGGGTTCAGTCTCTTTGCCTCCTTGAGATAGATCAGGTTTTTATGATCAGTCCAAATGATAAATGGTAGTTCAGCCCCCTCCAGCCAATGTCTCCACTCCTCCAAAGCCAGTTTTACTGCCAGTAACTCCCTGTCCCCCACGTCATACCTGCTCTCGGTGGGTGTCAAGCGCCGTGAGAAGAAGGCACACGGATGAAGTTTGTGGTCTTCTGGGGATACCTGAGAGAGGACTGCGCCAACCCCGGTGTCAGAGGCGTCCACCTCCACAGTGAACTGCTGCTTGGGGTCTGGTCTGGAGAGGACTGGGGCCTCGGTGAACCTCCTCTTCAGAGTCCTAAATGCAGCTTCGGCTTCTGGAGACCAGGAAAAGGGCTTAACAACAGAGGTTAGAGCTGTCAGAGGGGCTGCGGTCTGGCTGTAATTGCGGATAAACCGTCTGTAAAAGTTTGCAAAGCCAAGAAACCGCTGCAGTTGTTTCCTGGTGGCAGGGGTAGGCCACTCAGTCACTGCTTGGACCTTGTCTGGGTCCGCCCTCAGCCGTCCACTTTCTAAAACAAAACCAAGAAACTTAACTACTGAAACATGAAATTCACATTTCTCGGCTTTTACAAATAGTCTGTTCTCCAACAGCCGTTGGAGTACCATCCGAACATGTTTCTGGTGTTGATCAATGGACCTAGAAAAAATCAAAATATCATCAAGATATACAGATACAAAGTCATTAATGTAGTCCCCCAACACTGAGTTCACGAGTCTCTGAAACACCGCTGGAGCATTAGTGAGGCCAAAGGGCATCACCAAATATTCAAAGTGCCCCAGGGGTGTCTTAAAAGCTGTCTTCCATTCGTCACCTTGGCGGACTCTGACCAGGTGATATGCATTGCGGAGATCCAACCGCGTAAAAACAGTGGCATCTTGCACAGGTTCAAAGGTTGATGAGAGTAGAGGGAGTGGGTACTTGTCCTTCACCGTTATTTGATTTAAACCCCTGTAATCAATACAAGGGCGAAGCGACCCGTCCTTCTTGGCCACGAAGAAAAACCCAGCTCCCAGAGGGGAGGTGGATGGCCTGATTATGCCATTGGCCAGGGCCTCTGTAATGTATTTCCTCATACTGTCCTGTTCAGGTTTGGACAGACTGTAGAGGCGGCTGGTTGGGAGCGGAGCTCCTGGCAACAGGTCTATTCCAATGTCAAATGGACGGTGAGGTGGCAATGTGGCTGCTTGATCTCTACTGAACACTTGCTGCAAGTCATGGTACTCACTTGGTACCTGGGTGAGATCGGGCGGCTCCACAAGAGTCTTTTCAGAGTCCTTGGATCCAGAGGAAGCAGAGGTCAGGCAGGTAAGATGACACTCCGGACTCCAGGTCTCCACACGGCTTGATCTCCAGTCCAAACACGGGTTGTGTACCCTAAGCCAGGAATGGCCTAGAACTACTTGGTTCTGCGGGGAGGGAAACACAAATAATGAGATCATCTCCGTGTGGTTACCTGAGACCTGGAGCTGGAGTGGTTGGGTCCGGTGGGTGATTGTGGCCAGGGGCCTCCCATCCAGGGAGGACACTGTTAAAGGTTCCGGCAGTGGAACAGTAGACAGTCCCCAATCCCGCACCAGTTGAGGGTCCACCAAAGACTGTTCACATCCTGAGTCTACTAGAGCAGTCGTCCGGTGGCGACGACTGTTAACAGTCAAAGCACAGTCAATAAGAAAACGGGAGGTCTCTTTACCTGAATGACTGCCCACCAGAACTCCCGGAACTACTGGTGGGCACGCCCTTTTGACGCCGCAGGGCAAGTGTGCACCATATGTCCTGGTTTTCCACAGTAAAGGCACAACCCTTTACTGTAACGATGTTGGCGCTCCTCTGGAGTAAGGTGGGTACGTCCCACCTGCATGGGCTCCTCGGGTGAGTCCAGAGGAGGAGACCTATGGGATGGACGATGTGCTACAGGTGGTGACAGATCCCTGAATGGTGTCTTCTGAAGCTCCCTGTGTCTCTTGTCGATAGAGATGCATAATGAGATCAGTCCGTCCAGGGTTGATGGCTCGGGGCACAGAGCCAGCTGGTTCCTTACCCGATCGTTCAGCGCTTCGATGAATGCTGCTTTAAGGGCATCGTCTCCCCATGATGTCATTGCAGCCAAGGTCCTAAACTCCAGAGACATGTCAGCCACTGACCTTCTTCCCTGCGAGAGGTGCAACAGTCTTTTTCTGATGTCAGTGGTGGTCTCTGAACTGCAAAAAGTCAGTTTAAAATCCTCCAGAAAGTCTGGGTAAGAACCAGACAGGAAATTAGGATTTCTGCTCTTAGCCTCCGCCCACCGAAGCGCCTTGCCTCTAAGTAGTCCAACAATAAACGAGATCTTCATTGAGTCAGTAGGAAAAGACCTCGGGGAGTCTTCAAACGCTAGGCGGCACTGTAGCAGAAACCCAAAGCAATCCTCGAATTCACCGGAGAAGGTCGGACATTGCCGAGGAGGAGCCGAACGGAAGTGGGTGATTTCCGGAGAGCCGAGCGCCTCCGGTCCAGGTGAAACCACACCTCCCGAGGCGTGTGCGTGTGGTTCTGTTCCGAACGCCGGAGCGGCGGCTGTCGCTGGAGCGGGGACGGAACCCGAGGCTGTAGAGGAGAGCTGCTCCTGAAGCTGCTGCAGGACGGTCTCCAAACGTTGATAACGTTGGTTGGTGATATTCAGCTGCTCCATGAGGACGGGAAGTGTCTGCTCTTGTTGGGACATCCGGGTAGCCAGATCCGCGAGTGCTGACTCCGCTGGATTAGATGTGTGGCCGGATGATTCTGTCATGGCTCGAGGTAAGTGTCTAACCCAAGACATGCAGAATCAGCACACGTAGTCCAAAGCAGTAAAGTAAAATGTCTTTATTATAAAAACGGGAACTGAAACCGCACAGGGAAGTCCTGTGGGATGAGCAATACGGCTCGAGTCTCTGAGGTGCTCAGGTTAATCAGTAGAGGAGGGGAAGCCGGGGAGGACGCTGGGCAAAGGATGAGAGATCCAGGAGGGGTGAGGTAGCAGAGGGAAAGCCAAACAGGAACGGCGGAGGAGGATGGGACGTGATGAGTATGTTCCAGAAAACGAAGACAGCGAGGGTGAGTAGATGATGAGATGATCCTAAACTGGTGCAATCATCCGGCAAAGTGATGTGTCTCCATCCTCCTTTTGAACCCGCGTCCCTGATTGGGAAATCTCCTGCAGCTGCCGCTCCCCCTGCTCCTCACCTGTGGAGAATTAGCTCAGAGTCTGGTGAGAGGAGAAGGTGTGACTCACCTCTGCCCAGGAACATGACATCCACATAAACACATAATACACCTGCAGCTTTACACACACACAAAGAGGTGTGGGCACACAAAAAACTGATCCCAACACAAATATTAAAGCATAGAATCATATACATCAGCTCTAATTACCCCCCCCCCCCCCCCCCAAAAAAAAGGTCATTAGTTTTTTCTCTGCATGTCTACTCAGTTGAAACAGCAGATTTGATCTTTCGTGGTAAACATTCAAAAAAGTTTACAACAGATTTCCACACTTTTCCTGTTGTAGAGTAAATCTGCTCTGAGAGTAAGGCTCCGGTCTAAATATGCAATCCGCTTAAACTGTCAGAAGGATTCAGATTAAAATAAATTATATTTATAAATGATATGGAGCCACATTTATATTTAGATCATTCGCGTTTCATTTGAGTCATTTTTTTTAACATCCCACCTTAAATGTAAAAAAAAACCCTGTTATTTTTATGTATTATTATAACCCTTTATTATTATAGGCAGTTTTTATTAAGGCTTACATAGATACGTTTTAATAGGTAATTAAAAATGAGCAATCGGTGACTGGTTTGTTGATTTTTCGTGACCACTCCAAGTTTAAATATAATAGTTTATTTTATTCTCTTCCCTAAACAGCGTTCACATATAGTTTTACATACATGTAGTGTAAGCAACCTGATTGAAACCAGAAACGATTACTTTGAGTGTTCCGCAAACATTACACAGCATTTTCCGTGAGTGGAACCGCATGGAGCCGAGGTCGATTGCCATTTAAGTGGTGCGTAATTACGCGCGGTGACGCTCTCTGGGATTCCACCCTTTTTTCCCCCTGGACTTTTAACGGGTGTGTGTGTGCATGTGTGTGTGTGTCAGGCGTGGCCTCTGTGTGAGAATAAGCCCCCCCCCCCCCTCCACCCTTCATGAGTTTCCTCCTCTGATGGAAACTGAAGTTGTGTGACTCTGACTGCGCCGCGCACGCACAGATACCGCTCAGACGCTCCCCCGCTCGGACGCTACGTGCGTGAAAACGTCTAGAAGTGATGAGCGACGTTAAGGTGAGTCACACCGAGGTTCGGATCAAAGAGCAAATTGTTACAAACAGATCCGGGCACACATCAAAGCTCTTTAAACAGAAACAATGTGTTGCTAATCTCGGATCTGGTCACTTTTCCGCAGATGGCATATTCTGCAGCCACTTGTGGAGTACTCCTGGATTACAGCAGAGGGACTTGTTTACTCCTCTGGGACTAGAGGAGCTGCGGATGACTTTCGTTTCTGTAACCAGCCTGCAGATTTCAGTCCACACACACACACGTTGCTGAGATGAAGATGTACTACATCGTGATTGAAGTAGTAATTGCAATTCTCTCCATATCCGGCAACGTGCTGGTGTGCTGGGCTGTCGCGATCAACAGCACTTTGAAGAACGCCACCTACTACTTTCTGGTGTCCCTGGCTGTGGCTGACATCCTGGTGGGCTGCCTCGCCATCCCCTTCGCCATCACCATCAGCATCGGCATTCAGCTGGACTTCTACGGGTGCTTGTTTCTCGCCTGTTTTGTTTTGGTACTCACTCAGAGCTCTATCTTCAGTCTTCTCGCAATCGCGATCGACCGATATTTGGCCGTGAAGATCCCGCTGAGGTGAGAGCCACTCTGCCTTTAATACATCTTTCACTTGTGTTAGACAATCATTTATTGATAAAGAAAGGGAAAACGTCTTGATCTCATCAACTTGTGCTCTAATTGGTGACATGATCTGTAACTTCAGCTGGTTTTTCCCTTCATGATCTTTTTTTATATGAGCTGCAGAATTTCTGTCCCCAACATCACAAACACACCAGATCAACATCTACTTTATGATAAAAAATAAAGTTCTGACTTTAATAAAATTATTCACCAACTTTAGTTTCAGGACTCTGCTTCCATAATCTGTCAGAGATTTGGTTGTTAGAGCACCAGCAGTGCTACATCTGAGTCATGGAAATTCCTGTAGACCAGGCTGTACACAGTTTATCTGAAATCTTTCCTGTGGTTTCACAGACAAGATTTGCTGCATGCAAAAAAAGTTTAAAAGCTGCAGAAATTCTAGACAGAAGTGAAATGAGTTGCTTAACAGTCCGGCTAACATGAAGTCACGTGTTATAAATGGTTTTGGTTGCTGGATAATTAGGTGATTTTATTTTATTTATTTATTTAACTTATTTTATGAGGATATAAACCACTTGAGATGTAATGATGAATGTAGATTTTGGGTTATGAGGTCTTTTTAGAAAAATCGTTTAATCTGGAATATGTTTTGCTCCAAAATCTGCAAATAGATTTCAGTTTGTTACGTTGCGTTCTCAGAACCATTGCTGATGCAGATTTTTGATATTTGATCCAAAAAAAAACTTTAATTTTCATTATTGAAAAAAAAAAAAAAAAAAAATTCTCTCAGAACCAGACTGGGCAGAATTTAAGATCTTTCTCTGGTAGATCCACCAATAAACAGGGTCTAAGTGCTTTTCAGCAGCAGTGATTTCCACTTCAGAACCAAGTCAGGGCTCAAAGGTCAGAACCATTCAATAACGGTTTCAGTCTCGTCTCTTCAGCACAGAGGCTTCTCTGGGTTGCTTTTTTAACCCTCTGGAGGCAGGCGTTGCAGATTTGCAACATTAAAACCTACCTACCTGGTTACTCCACATACGTATTTCATGAGCATTTTTTTAACTCAGACGTACACCTGAAGGATTTAGTTGTTCATCCTTTTATCAAAACTTATTTTGAGCCTGAGAAGGTTAAATGATTTTTTTCTTATTGATGATAAAATAAATCTTTAAAATCACCTAGTGTCACTTCTCCAGGTGTGTTCTCCTTAGTTTCTGATTTGTGAACTTAATTCATTTTTGGAGACAGAGAAATGTGATTTTGAATAAATGAATGTTAATCAAAGTTTAATATCACATTTATCGTTGCAATCAGAGTATGCATTTTTTAAATTACACTATAATGCTCCAACTTCTCCTGAAACTGTGTCATATGATTGGACTCTAAAGGAAACTCAATCACTGCGTGTCATTTCCACTGGAACCCATGGAAGCAGAGGCAGCCAGCAGGGACAGCACTGTGCTGCATGATATTTCCAGGAATTGAAGAATATCATCAGATGGGAAGTGTCTGTCTGCAGGTGGTGTTGTTTGTAGACTTGCAGCATGCTAGCGAGCTTTCCGTTAGAGTTTATTTTTAAGAACACACCCCAGCTTTGTTGTGTGAGAAGTGGGTGCTGTTTGGCTTAGACATGCTGTCATTTCCATTTCGGTCAAACAACGCGGCTAGAATGGATAGTTTGACATTAGTTTGGGACAAAAGTGGCCTCGCACCTCTCAAAGGGCTTGTAAAGTTTCTATTTTTGACCCACAGAACAAAACAAGACCTCCTTTTGATCAAACCTGACTTTTTACACATTCTATAAGGTTACTGTAAACCTAGCTCCACACCCCATCATACGTGTGATAACATAATCAGTGTGTGTGTGTGTGTCTCTAATTATGTGTCCACAAGCTTTTGTGTGTGAGTTGGGTCTCTGCAGGCCTGTGGAACCACAATTCTTTCTTAGATTAAAGTTTTCTGCAGATGTTTTTTAATGTGAAAAAGCCAGATGTTTCAATCCCATGAGATACATTTCTCACACACTCTCTTCTCAATGCTCTCCTCAAGCCCCCAGTCTCACTATTGTGATTCCTCGGAAAAAGACCCTCTGGCTGCTTCCTCCTCCTGTTCTGTTGATGTTCTGGATTCAACCGAAGCACATCTGGACCTTTATCAGCAGGTCTGCCTCTCTCATGCCCCAGGCGTCTGATTTAAAAAAATCAGCTTCTTAATTCTATTGGATTGTTTTGTTTCTGGATATCCAATGAATCTGGATACACGAGGAGGTGTTTTGTGTAAATATCATACCTGTTGTTGATAGATCATTGAACAACCTCAGTTTGGATAAACAAATATTAGTTGTAGGTGGATTGATGAGCTAGTTTTAAATATTTTATGATATGATGAAATGTTTGAGGTTGCATGAACGGTCATAAAACTTTTGAGTTGTAATCATTCTTAAGCCTGGTTCATGCTTCTCCGTCAGCTCCGCAAGGGACAGACACGCACGGATTGATGGAAGCATTTTGCTCTCATACTTCTCCGTCTCCTGGGGAGTGTTGCAAAGCAATTCCCCGCCAGGACAGCAGAGGGCGTAGCGCTGTTCTGTGATATCCTGTCATGTATCCGGTCCAAGATAGTGTGTTTATATTGTGTTTTTTGTATATAACTTTTTAACACAGACAAATTTGTCTCTCATCCTCCACCACCTCTTCAAGCGCTCGCCACCTCTAAACCCACGTTTCCTGTCATTTCCATCCACAAATAAAACACTTGCTGCGCATCTTTTCACTCCTCCAGTCACGGGGAATTAAACGTTCATGTTTTTAGAGTTTTTTCGCGAGGTATTCTTCAAGCTTCTCCGTGTCTGCCGCTAGTTATCCTCGGCTCTCTTTATGTTTTTGAGGGCGCAATGACGACAGCGGCGTCCTGACCAATCACAAGCTTGCGTTGTCCGTCTCGTTCAACGGATGTTTAAAAAAGAGAGCTCGACTCCATCCGTCCTTGTGGAGCTCTCCAGCAGGCCCGCAAGGACGTTGCGTGTCTCCGCACTGACGCAGACGGAGAAGCATGAATCAGGCTTAAGGCAGCAGGATCTCACTTTGGATACCTGAGATCAGCTGTTGAGACATTATGAAACAACAAAGTGATTTCTGATCAAATTTGAGATGAAAAAAAAAACAGTTAAAGGTGCAATATGTAAGAGTTCTATATTCTACAGTCTAATGTCTCAATCACGTTGGAAGGAAGGTTATACTCAATCATATTTCATTCTCAGCCGGCTGGGGGATTGTCAGTTTTTCTCCTTTCAAAATAAAATAATGAGGGACGTAGCTACTATTTACTATCAGTGAGTGTGACGTTGCTGTGTCTCCTGCGAGCTAAGGCTGCAGCGCGGGCATTTGTTACTCAACTATGGCTGGCAAAAAGCTACAAAGTTGTTTAATGAACCAAAGCCAGTAACAAGAGTTACCCAAAAAGTTTTTCTTAAAAGCTACACTCTTTGGCCACTTTTTACAGTACTCATTTGTAGTACTAGTTTGCCCCCCTTTTTTGTTTTCAGAACAGCCTTAATTCCTCATGTCAACAAGATGTCATTCATTAGAGGTTCTGGTCCACACCGATATGATGTGGACCAGAACAGTTACATCCATGATGAGAATCTTCCACTCCATCAGGCCTCCAGCTCCATTGTCCTGCTGCTTTCGTTTTGCAAACACACAGATTACCTGTGAACACTGGCACATCTGCAATTATTCACTAGCACCTCCAGCAGCCCCAACCTGTTTGTGGCAGAAACCTTCACAAAATTCAGCCATGTTCATAAAAAATATCCCATGCACTGACTTACCATAAAGAAGAGATTAACCTGAAACTGATCTTTTATTTTCTTCACAAATTTTTGCTATTTTATGTGAAAAAGCCAGAGAACACTCAATGCTGGAGAGCTAACACAAGAACAAAATAAATGCAAATATACCAGGGTTCACAGGTAATTGTGTGTTTGAAAAAACAAAAGCAGGAGAACAATGGAGCTGGAGGCTTGTGCAAATCTGCACAGGCTCAGTAGTTGAAGGTTTTCTTCACCAGACAATAAAAAGCTCAGTTGTTCTCATGTTAAACCATGTTCAGTTGGTACTGAGGGCATGGACATACTTTTGGGGGTGGGGCAGGGGGGACATGACCCGAAGTGGGCCAAGAAAACCCCCCTCACAGCCTTACAACACCAGTAATCTAAAGGTTGGTTTATGCTTGACGCGTCTGCGAGGTCTGTGCGGAAAAGTTGCGTCATTTTAACAACCACGCCCCTCCACCGCGCCTCCGCACGGCCCAAACTTTCCGCACCGCGCACCTAGGAAATTTTCTAACCACGCGGAAGGTCGGACGCAGAAAAACATGGCGGACTGGCAAGAACTAGTATGGCAGAGGTTTGTAAATACAGACATTTGTATGATTCAGCTCTCAAAGATCACCGTGATCAACATGTTGTTAATAATTCTTGGAGAGAAATAGCTCGCACTGTCGGAAAAGACGAGGACGCTGTTAAAAATGCTGGAATGCCATGTTGTAAACAGTAATTTTTACTTCTACTATGGTGTAGTGTTGGATGCATGCTGTAGAGCTCCATGCTGCCCCCTACAGTTTGGGAGAATATTGGCTCACCGCAGAGACAAGCCGCATAAACCATAAACGCTGCAAGTTGTGAAGCGCGTTCCATCCGCGGGCCGCATCATCAAGCGGAAAGTGAATGTGTCAAGCATAAACCAAGCTTAAGGTGGTGATGCCAGGATCATGTAAAATTCTCCTGAACTAGAACTTTTAATCAGAGTTTCTCGTTTATGCTCCCTAAACTCAAAGTGGTGCTCTTCAGATTTAAAATAATCAATCTAGCTTAGTTGTTCTCTTTTTTTTAAGTCAAACCCACTGTTCTGCTCAGATTGAATGCTGCCCAGACACCTTTCCTCTCATCTCCTTTGAATTATCTTCCCTTGTGCTCAAACCTTGCGTGCTTGTGGGTGACTCTCCTGTTTTTAGATTTTTTTCTTCTCTCTTACAGACTGAGCACACCTTTTTTTTACCTTTAGCAAATAATTAACAGATCTACTTTATTTCCATAGTTCTGGTGATCCTGTGTGAGTTTTAGCCTCAGTTTTCTGTTCTTATCTGACAGAAGAGACACCCGGTGTGGTCTTCTGCAGCTGGAGTCCTGCTCATGTTCAACATGTTGAGTTCAGAGACTGCTCGGCAGTCCTCGGTTGGAACCAGTCCACCCGTTCTCACATCCAGATGCCTAAATGCACTAAGTTGCTGTGAGGTACTGGTTAGCTATCAACTACACAAACTTTAAAAAATAAATGAATCAGAAGTTTCAACTTGCTATTGTTCACCTCCATTAATTACAACAGTGAAGTCATGTTTTCCATTACATTAAAATCTGATGTGATGATGGATGAAGGTTCAGAGTTAGAGGGGAAGCTCAAGCTAAGATTAAGATTTAAATTTATGAGACTGAACTGAGTGATGCTGAAAACCTTCACTGGTTGCAGACTGAAGTTAGATAACAGAATGTTTACAGTCAAATAAATATTAAAATTGTTGCCGTTCTTCCAGGGTGAAGAACATAGCTGTCAAGTTTGAGTGACTACCTGTTAGATATTGGGCTGTGGACCCAGCCGCACATCAAAACGGGTGTGTGTGTGTGTGTGTGTGTTTAGACAGTGTGTGTGGCATGGTGTAGGTCAGTAGCCCCAAGGCAAACAACTGACCACAGAGTGAGAGAGCGAGTGAGAGTGGATGAAGCAGGAAAAGAAAGCAGAACAAAGATAGATGCCAGCGTGCTGTCGTCATGCTGTAGCTAATCCATTCAGCCGCTTGTTCAGTCCCTGTCTCCATGGATAAAATAGAGAGAGCGGGAGGGATGTGCAGAAGTTGGACCTGATGAGAAATGGGTCCTGCACATGCTGTTGACCTCTGTGGTTTAAAAGAAAAATGGAGAGGGGATGAAGATGAACAGCTGGTAATGAGAGGAGAATCACTGGAGCATCTTCTTCTGCATCTTTTAGCACCAAGCTGTAATATTCATGGAGTGGCTAGTCAGGCCTGCTGCAGGGGGTCACAGGGTAAGGGCGGAGCTCGTGCACCACTCATCAACCAGTTTGTTAAGATTTATGAAAACTTAGGATAGCGTGAGCCAATGATTAATAAGAATTCATCTGTGTTGTTATGGCAACCGAGCATGAATTCTTTTGTCAAATTCCCTCAGAAACAGAACTGTATGGGTACTTCCTGTCTGTAATTATTCACAGTGAAGCCACTTCCTCATCATCAGTCTCTACAGTCTTTACAGAAGCCGGCAGCTGTTCATTTATCACTCCAATTTTTCCATCAATCCCAAAACGAGCAGACCCAGAAGGAGCGAGAGCCTGATGTTTCTCATGATTCAAATCACATAAAATGAGGAATGCAGTTGAACTTGGTGACATATTTTCCTTCTCTACATTAGAACGACAACGTTTCACTCAGCGATAGGGAAAAACCAGCCACAGGCAGCAGACAGGTACCGGATAGCCAAGCGGGGTGCAGCAGTGGCAGTTGCCGAGGCAAAATCTCGGGCGTGGGAGGAGTTTGGTGAGGCCATGGAGAAAGATTATCGATCGGCTCCAAAGAGGTTCTGGCAAACTGTCCGGCGCCTCAGGAGAGGAAGGCAGCAACTCGCTCACACTGTTTACAGTGGGGATGGGGAGCTGCTGACGTCAACTGAGGCTATAGTCGGACGGTGGAAAGAATACTTTGAGGAGCTCCTCAATCCCACCAATGCGCATTCCGAGGAGGAACCAGAGCTGGGAGGCCTGGGGATGGACTGTCCGATCTCGGGGGCAGAAGTTGCTGAGGTAGTCAAACAACTACACAGAGGCGGAGCCCCGGGGGCGGATGAGGTTCGTCCTGGGTATCTCAAGGCTATGGATGTTGTAGGGCTGTCATGGTTGACACGTCTCTACAACATTGCGTGGTCATCGGGGGCAGTTCCTAGGGAGTGGCAGACCGGGGTGGTGGTCCCCATCTTTAAGAAGGGTGACCTGAGGGTGTGTTCCAACTATAGGGGGATCACACTCCTCAGCCTCCCTGGAAAGGTCTACTCCAAGGTACTGGAGAGGAGGGTCCGATCGATAGTTGAATCTC